AATAATGGGGGTGAGTGCCACTGGCCTGTAGTCGTTCAGGCAGGTGACCGGGCTCTTCTTGGGTAGGGGGATGATGGTGGTGGTCTTAAAGCAGGTGGGGACGATGCTCTGGCTGAGGGAAAGGTTGAAGATGGTGGTGAGAACATCAGCCAGCTCGCTGGGACATGCCCTGAGAGCCCTCCCAGGGATGTTGTCCGGTCCTGCCACTTTGTGGGGGTTGATCTTCCTCAGGACTGTGCGCACCTGGCCTGGTGACACAGTTAGTGGAAGGAGTTGGGGGGCTGGGTGGTGTGTGTGTGTGTGTGTGCCTCCTCTCTGTGCTGTGGCTGGAGGTCTCAAAGCGGGTGTAGGTGTTGAGGTCATCCGACAGGCTGTCTGTGGAGCTGATGATACTGGTGGTGGTCCTGTAGTCTGTGATGTGCTGCAGGCCTTGCCACATGAGGCTATACTGTGTTATCCTAATCTGAAAGGTACTACTTTTCACTAATTTTTTAATAATAATGTATTTATTACCATAGTCAATTTAGTAAGCAACTATAGTGAACATGTTCTTACTTTTAAATTAGCCTATATTTTATATAGATTGTGGTGGTGTCTGAAGAACAAGTGCTGGCTTGGCAGTGTGTGTTTCCACATGCAGTTGCTCTGTATGCCTATTGTACACGTTTTGCTTATACACAAACAAGATGTTCCACAGCACTATAAGGCTCTTTGACCACCAGCAACTGACAAGCATATTGCTGTAGCATGCATAAACGACATACCTGACAAGCCCAAGGCAAGAAAATACACACAAAACTACAATACACTCTCTTGTATACTTGATCTTATGTTATTATTCTGTGTGTTCTTAGCATGAGCAGAAGATACCCAGGCATCTTCATAAGCAACAGGACACCCACAGGACAACCAGAAGCCTTCGGCAAAAGTGACACATGCTCCTATCTCCAGTCCTGCTCTCTCAGTGTGACTATTTTTGTCCCTTTGTCCATTTCTCTGTCAGCAAGCACTAGAGAGAACAATGGAGAATTGAGAGCAGGATCTAAACACACACTCTCTTCCGTTTGCTGTGTGCCTGTTGACTGCCTGGACAGTTGGTTAGTGAGGACAGGCTACAAAGATGCACACTCTTTGACTCACTTTGATAGAAGTTTACCTAACTCCACTGAGCTACAAAATAGTGTTTTGTTATATCAATATTGGCCAGTTCTCAACTTACACATAATAGTATTTCTAAGCACTTTTCCAACTCTAATTTTTTCAATGTGTGCAAATAACATACAGTACATTATCTTTAAATTATGTTTCTATAATTATTTTAATTATTGAAAAATCATTTGGTGTGTAAATTGTAATAATGGCCCCATATCACCAATAGCAGGTCAACCAATCCCAAACTAGCCTTAAATTGAAAGGTCTCATTAACAGGAACAAAACAACTGCACTCAATTCACTGCAATATAAAAAAGGATTTGAGAGCAAAATATCTTTTAAAAGCTGTAGCCAAGGAATATGTGGCATTTGTACTTATATTTGAATTATTAATAATTCAAAAATGTCAAAATTTCTGCTGATGGAAACACTAATTAAATTGTTTTCCTAATTAATCACTTCCCTCTACTTCTTAAATATGTCCACAAACAGATCTGGACTTAAGTCAATGAGCCAAACGGCAGCAGCGCCCAGATCCCAAATGGATGAAAATAAAATAAAATAAAAATAAAACACTTAAATTATTTATTTAATTTGTGTGACAAAAAATAGGATTAAATCCACTAGTTTAGTGATGCCCACTACAATGACCGAGGTATTGCTGCCTTTAGTTCCCAGCAGTGTTGACAACAGCCGATCTGAGCCTGGGGGATAGTGTCTAATTCATGAACTCAGCCGAAGCCTATGGAGCCAGCACCACCTATTTTTAGTTTGACAGCCTTTTTAAAATCTCCAGCAACAGGTGACTGTCCACGGCTGCCCCAGGGAGAATCTGCAGGGAGCTGAGACGGCTGACAAAGCAGACTCCCAGGACTGAAAATCGGCCTTCAGTCTGTTTATCCGGAAATAACGCAATCCCATTCAAGATTATATGATCCACTGGCTTTACATTAGTAATCGTACAGCGGGAAAGGTCATAAGTCTGGTCGGCTAGGAGTTCAAGTAGCTAATTTAGATTAGCAAAGCGTGTAAATTAGTCACAATGTTAACCTCGAAGCTCTCCAGCTGTGTTCAATAGTCAATGCCACCAGAAATAAACAGCAGCATTTTAAAAAATCCAGAAGAAAACCTGCAAACAGCCGTACTCCCGCTGAGTTTCTAAGAAATCGGCCGTTTTAACTCAACTAGGTTACGCTATCGTCAGGCAACAGGTGACATGACGTTTGCATGGTCCCCGATTCATTTGTCTCCGTTTGCTGGTTCCCGTTAGCTAGTTAGCTAACGTATCTATGAGTTAACGATAAGAATGACAGCAACCGCAAGCAACGTTAGCCTGACTGATAGAGCCGTTTTAAGTTTTCACTTATTGAGTGCCTTAAGTTACCATAAATCAACTTAGACGTGTAGTGTTAGTAAAGTCATGCCGATACTAAACTGAACAATGTGACATGGTGTTGACTACACATAGCTAAATATTGAAAGCAAACTAGTTGTATGTTAAGAGGGACCAATGAGTTAGCTACGTAAGGCTGAATGTTAGCTAGACAGATAACGTTACCTGGTCTTGTATCTTCAACACAGCCATATTCCCTGTGTAAAAGAAGGCAATAACTCGCTCGGGAGTTACTGTAAATTAACCGAGAGAACTGAATGAGAACAGACTCTGGAGCCAAACGGTGCTGCTTCCCCTCTTCCTTCCTTCCTACCATGGGCAAATTAACCACATCATGGGACAGAAATTATTAAACGAAAAAGTTGGGACCAAAACACAAGTCACCGAACCGATAGCAAACACTCACTGACCGCACGGACTGTCAATTCAAGTCCAGGAGTCACTACAGGTTTTTGTGGCAGTGCCAGTACATTTTTATTCAATTATTGATATAGAAAAGTGCAATACACAGGTGTCACGTAGTCACTGTGTCAATATATTTTCTGATACTGTGATGTGGAAAATGTTTATCATACAAGCTCAGAAATATTAGCTCAAATATTGATTCGAGATAACTGGATATGTTAGTTATGCAGAGGCACAACAGAATATTTAAATAATTTATTGTAGATACAAAGAGATAATTCCTTGAATTTAAACCAGATTTCATCTAAATCCTGGGGATGATCTTAATGGCACTGCATCTGTCAATAATACAATCTGTTTGGTGGAGTTTGGTGACTAGGCCTACCTAAAGCCTTTCACTTAAACACTTTCCAAAAGAGGAAGAAAACAATCGACTTAAGTGTTTTTATGTTAAACCTACAAATTGTCACAAAAAAAAATCCAACAATAAAAAATAATGTTCATCTGGGAACTAAGTCATTTCTCCCATTAGCACAAAGTGAACTAGCAAGTACCACTTAGTAGATTTTACTGTAGGATTCCAATAATGATTCCAGGATTTGATGCATTTATGACAACTATAGGATTTCAGTCAACTGTGGTTTTTAAGCTGATAACATAACATTGAGACCCTTTGGTCTGTGAAACCTCCTATGCTGTTTCAAACGGGAATGATTTGAAAACTGCTTGCCACATATACTGCATTTGTTTTTCTTGGTGTGAATTTGCAGGTGTTGGATGAAACTTTCTTTAGACGCTGAACGTTTTCCACAAATTCCACAGATATGGATTTTGTCCATTGCGTGTGTTTGCACATGTGTCCTCAGTGTGTACATATAATGGAAAATCTTTCCACATGCTTTACAACAGTGAGGACCTGTGGGATCCTGACTGGCTGAAAACTGTGTTGATTTCTTTACATTTAAACTTATGAGGGGTAAAGATTTTTTCACATGCTTTTTCCATTTTGAACCGAGTTCCTTTAAACTTGAACAAGGTATATGGGTCTTCTTCCACTTCTCATTTTTGCTACTGCTTTTATTCTCAGCAACAGCGTCGACTTCAGTGGTATGCTGAGATTCCACAGCTGGCTGCAACATTTCACCAGTGCCACCATCAGACTGAGTTTCCAGAGGCAGAGCTGCAGACTTGGGAAGACGTTCTTTGCAGCTTTGCTCAATGTCGATTTCGCTGATATCTTGGATAAAACTGTGGACAGAGATGATGCTGAGGCCAGCGCCTTCGATCTGCAGTTGCTCTGAGCACTGCAACTCTGGTTGACTTACTAAGGGGGGGAAAAAAAACCTGTCAGTTGTTCACATCACAAGCATTTACATGGGCTGTACTAACACTTTGCAGTGAAGGTTAAGTTCAGTAAATCATGATCTTTCACGACACCTTGTGTCCACACATCCTGTTCCTCTTTAACTTGAAGCGGCAGTAAGGCCTGTTGGTCCTCCTGGTCATCCTGGTCCAGGCTGCCAAGCTCCTGCTGGCACCAAGGTTCAGGCTTAGCAGAGCGCTGATTGATCTCTAGCGGGAAGAACACATTCATGCATTTTATTATACTGTTACAGTGACAGACTGCCAAGTATGTGTTAGAAACCCAAATAACTTAATGCCCTAAATCTACATTTGTGTAATGAGAAGTTATTTCAAATCAGAGTTTACTGTGCAACAGCTGAATGCACAGGTATTAAGGTGCTACATGTGTTTATTTACATACATAACTGTATTCAAAGCATTATTCTGAATGGCTGATTATTCTTCATTTGTGAACAACTGAGGAACATCAGGCATACTGTAAACTAACCTGCATCTGGACTTTGCTGTAGAATTGTATATCCTGTAAACAGACAGAAGTCAATAATTACTTGTATTCAGTGAAAATAAACAGTGACAGCACTATTACACAAGTTGTCTTAAACAGAATTGAACATGTGTTTCTACAACTAAACAGCAATATTCTAAAATAACACAAAAGCCAAGAAACTGCACATACCATGTTGTTTCAATAAGTGTGCCTCAAAGTTATATTTCCGATAAATTATCCTTCTGCAATATGGGCAGTGCCAGTGACTTCTTCCCTGGATTCTGTCTTTGCACAAACATGGTACAACAAATTTTTCTGAAAAGAAAAAATACCAGTATGGTACTTTAAGATTTTCTGCTTTCTTAAGCCTGTTAAAGTATCCAACAGGATACAATAAAAGCTACTCACATTCAAATATTTATAAAAGTATCACAGTGTGACTAACAAGACAGAATGCAATTCCTCAGTGTGTTTTTAGAAGTTCAAGTTTTGATTTTGATGCTAATAAAACTTACCAGTGCCATCGTCAATATAATGAACAGCAAACAGATAATGCCTTTTTGTCAAATGCGTCTCAGTGGATTCAACTTTTCTGAGGCAGTAGGGACAGTTTCCTTTGGCTGCAAACTTGAGAAAGTCGGTGCGTGAGGTGAAAACATTCTGCAAGTCTGCAAGAATCAAAAGATGAATCTAATTTAATAAACAAGTTACAGTCAACAGTTATAACATGTCTTAGAGTGTACTGACTGATAAAGCACTGGTGGGAGGAGGAGACAGGACTTAACATAGGAGCTTAATGAGTTGATTACATTGAAGAGAATAATTTAATGTCAGATGTAAATCCTACCACTGGAGGAGGTGAGAGATTTCCTGGCATTCTGGGGAGAAGCTGAATCTGATGCACTTGGACCAGCAGGAGTAGGCGAACTTTTGTTGGCATGACCTGATACAGGAAAAAACAAGTATGAACGTCTTGAGGATAAAGTGAAGTTACACTGTGTTAAAAACTGTTTGTGTGTGTGGCATTGTTGACAGGTGTTACGCCATACTCGTATCTTTCTATAGCTATAGTCCAAATGGTAATAGGTTTCCTTTAAATATAAAAATTTGAAACTATGCTATTACTATATATTGTCTCTTCATTGACACAGAAGTACATGGAAAATCCCAGAAATAAGCAATAAGAAAAATAATGGCTTGTTGAGATTAGTGGGAGAAATCCTCTGTTTGCAGTTGGCCCTTTTACAAATTGCATACTATGGCTTCATCACACCGCAGCTCATGATAGTTTTTTTTATATCAGTATAAAAGCCTTTAGATGTACCATCTCATTTTCTAGGGGCCCTTTGACCATGCCTCTTAAGGGTTATCAAAGGGATGCCAAGTGAAATAAGAGAATGGTTTATTAGTCATTCTGAACTCAAATAAAAACCTCAAAATATGCTGAATAACTTTATTATGCTGTTGTGCTTTACTGGTGTATGGTTTGTGCTGTATTCCCCCCCCCCATCTATATACAATCCTTTATTCATGTAAATCTGGGAATAAAAAATGCTACAGTTTTTCTATTCCAATAACAGCAACTTTGGCATTTGACTTCACAGTACTCTTTAATTAATTTAGATTCATGAATCCTTTTTACTGCATCATATTTTTCTTAATACCCCTGAACATTAAATTATATTTGATATTTCTGCTTTTGCTGTCATTTTACCTGCTCAGTATTAAAAAGTCTCAAGAAAACAATACTCATATATTACAGGGATTAAAATTTATGATACTCTGTTATGTTCCATTTCATATTTCAGCATTGGTTTCTTGAGACTTTTACTGAGCTGGTAAAATGACACCAAAGTATCCGAATTAGTAATTAGACGTTACCATTTTATATCACTTACTATAAATTAATCTGAGTATTTCATGTTAAAGTCAAAGCTGCCATTATTCGAATTTATTCACTTTTGTATAGACCTACTGTTCGTCCCTGATAAACTAGAGGCTAGGATTCAGCACTCTCACCGCTGCGGCCCGGGTTCGAGTCAGGGTTGCGTCAAGAAGGACACGTGCCAAATGTCAACATGCGCAACGTCAGTGTGACGATCCGCTGTGGCGACCCCTAACGGGAAAAGCCGAAAGTGACATTAATTCAGTATAGACTTACTCTGTGTTCATGGAATGGATCGGCTTAAAAATAACTGAACAGTGCCCTCTACAGGGCTACTTTGAAGGTACGATCACTTTTACAGTTTTAAACATAACACCTCTATGGTTTTAACCAACTTATTGTAGTTAAACCATAATGCAGAAAAAATAACGTCACACTATCTTCGGTATTGTCAGAAAATGTGTAACGCGAGCATTACCCACCAATGTCTGTCAAAGGCACAATGTTTGGATTGTTTGAAGCTAAGTTAGCATTAATGTTCAGGGGTAATCGCTAGCTTAGCTGGCTAAAAGACATTGCATTGTTACGTACTGCTAGCAGATAGGGGATGACTAACATCACGTTCAGCTAGAGTGGACTAAAGCAAATTCTAAGATATTGGCTTCAAAACACTGCTTTCAGCCCCAGCAGCTCCGTTTCCATTGGTATTAACATTAGGTGGCACAACCATTACCCGCGTCGTTCGGACAGACCAACCTGCTGTCTCTGTTAACTTGGATTTGAGGATCATGTCCAGCAGAGAGCGGTGGCGATCGTTTTCTTCCTTCAAGCGGGAAGTCTTCTCCTCATAATCCGCTATTGTTTTTTCAATAGCACCTAATATTTCAGAAGCTGCCGCGGTTAACCGCTCAGAAACAAACACTTTTAATCTTTGGATTTGACTCATCTTTCCACCATTAGCACACTACCTTTACCCGGAACGATACATAGGATGACCAGTGGAAATGAACTGGACGGAATGGGAGGAGAGGGGTATTTCCGTTTGTTCCTTTCATAGTAAAAGTCCTGCGATGCGCTTAATTTGTCACTTAAAATTCTGAAGACAGATGATGAGAGGTCTCCAATCCACTGGCACATCAGGTCAGAATCGCATCAGAATACATATATTTTTATTTAAAAGTGCAATCATTTACTACAAAACATCATATAATGATTAGTTCCCCAATAATATGAAAATAGCAAAGGTTATTCCACTGTATAAATCTGGTGATAAGCACAACTTCACAAATTATAGACCGGTTTCTCTGTTGTCACAATTTTCAAAAATTCTGGAAAAACTCTTTAATAACAGATTAGATACATTTATTGACAAACATAAAATCCTCTCTGATTGCCAATA